GTTAAGTCAAACGAACTATTTTCAACGTTTCTGGAACGTTTACAATCGTTCTATAATCGAACCAATATTCGAATTTTATGTTCGAATTTAATTCGAACAAATTCGAACAAATTAGAACAAAACATTCGAAATAGAAAGCCACTTTCAACCACTTTCAAGCCCATATCTCCCGCACCCTTATAGCTATCGAGACGCAACCGCAACCACCCCTATGCACGAATAGACACTTGGGGCTACTACCACATATGAACACCATTCACGTGCGATGTGTAGTTTTGGCGAAGAAGTGAAATATAGGGACATACACGTCCATTTATATATATATATATATACTAGATTATCTTAAATTTTGTAAATTATTTATATAATGTTATAATGTCTGAGATATTTTAATCGTTTCATTTAAATCACATATATTAATTGTCCCAGATGAAATGAAATTTTAATAGATTTTAATTGTGAGTTCAATATTTATACATTTTTAATATTGCTAGGTAATACGATTTTAATACTGTAGTTGCTAGATACTACGGTTTTAATGTTGATACTAAAAGCCAATGAGGTAGCCCGTTTCGTTTAAAACGAGCTGTGTTATTGGCTTGCTGTAATCAAATGGTATTCTAATCAGCTTATAATTATAATGTTTTTTTATTTTCATTTTTTATCTGTATGTGAACAAAAGAATACAAAGAAATCGATAAAGGATAGGAACTAGATGCAATATTATATCAGAATAACGGTGTTTTGATCAAACAAAACTCTATTTTACACATGTATATTTTAATAAGCTTTTTCTTTTATTATTATTTTAAAAAAGTATTATAGGTTTTACACATATCAAAAGAATACGGCAAACATTATAAAGAGTTTATACTCTTATAAAATGTTCTGATTTACACAATCTCTAACATTTATTAACGAATATTCTATAAAATTTTAATTAAAATTTATTCAGAAATGTTTACAAATATTTCATATAAAATTATTTGTGAAATTGTTATTAACTATAATAAAAAATTCTTATAATATATAACAAACAATGAAGGAATCCTACCGGTTTGTTTACAATTATCGTTGAATAATTCATTCATTTTCTTATTTGTCTAGAAAAAGAAAGAAGCAGTTTTCAGTTTTCAATAAAATCGGAATTCCCGGGCCTCAACCAAACATATTTTTTGGAAATTTGTTGGAATTATTTTTAAAGGTACATTTTAAATACATTTTTAAATTTAACGTTATTAAGATACTTATAATTTGTTTTTATAGGGACATTTACGGACCCACAAAGAGTGGATTTCCAAATATGGCAAAGTTCTAGGGTAAGACAGCTTTATCCTTTTTAATTATAATATAGTATAATAAAATAAAAATTTTAATTAATATAATTTTAGATATTATTATGGCACGACTCCGGTTCTGTTTGTTACGGACACCGAATTATTAAAAAATATTCAAATCAAAGATTTCCATAATTTTTCAGATCGACCAGTGAGCAAAGTTTAGTTTAATTAATATAGAATATTACTCTACACATTATGTACAAGTGAAAAAATATTTTAGAGTCTCCATACAGAAAGCAACAAGGTGCCTTCAAATCGATTAGCTCATAATTTACTTAATTTGAAAGGTGCAAAATGGAAGCAGATGAGAAGCGTAGTTACACCTTCTTTTACCACAAGCAAGATGAAACTGGTATAAAAGTATAAAATCGTTATAATTTATACTATAGCAAGTATATATAATCATATATAACATTTAATATTATGAATTAGATGTCGCCCATTATAAACGATGCCATTGAACTTCTGTTAAACAATTTTGAGAAATTTTGTGAATCGGGAGAAGCATTTGAATCCTATGCTCTATATCAAAGGCTGACCATGGATGTAATTGTCAGAACGGCCTTTGGTTTTCAGTCCGATATTCAGATAAATCCCAAAAGTTCTCTTTATAAATTGTCCAATATTTTAATTCATGCACCCTTTAAACATTTGTTTATACTCTTTACAAGTGAGTCATTTTTATTTTATATAAATCAAACTTTAATAAATAAATTTCTAAAAGAATTCGTATTAATATATCATAAATTTTTCAAATGCTTATTATAGCTTTTATTTTTTAAAATATTTTTATGTTACGCAGATTGGATACAATGTAAACCGTCTGTTGATATTATAAATTGTAATTAGCTTTGAATCAGTTACAAATGTGAAATAATCGCAGACAATTAAAAGAAAATAAGTTTAAAAACAATAATTAAATTCAATTTTAAATCTTTCGCAATAATATTTTAATATAAATTTTGTAGTTTAATATACCTTATGTTTTCATTTTAATATTTATCAAGGATATCTTTGTTTATACTTATTTTTCATTAGGATCTTTTGAGTTTCTCCAACCGTTTTTTCGACTTGTTCGCATCATTTTTGGTGCGATAATCAACAGAGGTAGAAATCCTCTCAAGGAATTGTTAGATAATTGTGAAGCCATCATCAACTCTCGCAAGAAAGATCCCACAGTAAAGATACGAATTTCATACTTATTTAATATTCATTTAATATCAATACACTGAATAGTTATGAAATTACTTTCTCTGGAAGGAAAAACGGATAGAGACATCGCTGTAGACATTAGCAAATACAGTACTACAAATAGCAAATACTGTAGTACTTATCTAGAAATATGTTGAAGCTGTTTATCAAAGAGGAAGTTAATTTAAAGTTTTGTCACCAGGGAAATAAATGGCATTGGAAACATAATCTAAAACACTGAAATCAAAATTTCATGTTACTGATTTCACGAATATGTTATTGAAGCCACTGCTCAATGTGTTAGCCATCACTAAGGCTGACATGATGAAATAATGAACTATATGAGCAACTGATTTGTACATTGCCTTTTGTTAGCGTAAGTGCATGAATTTCACCATTTTCATTGATGTAATTTGAAACCAAAAAACAGCAGTACTGGACGTTCTGTTTAATGTTTATTATCATATCCACAGACGAGTATACGCCGTCGTCATACGCTGTCTTTCCGCAATCGCAATGATTGTAGTAGCAGGGACTGAAGAAAATTTAAAAAATATTTTATTGTTGCATGCAATAGTTGATTTTCCTTTTTGACCATATTCAAATGTATACTATATTCCCGTTTCTGCAAAGACAGAATCAAATGCACGAAATTACGGTCCATGTTTTTATTCTCAGCATGTCGTTTCTAGTGACAGACAGAATATTGAGTACTGTAGCTGCTGCAATATCATATTGGTGAAATCGATTTTATTCTGTTTTTTCTTCTTTTTTTCTGGTCTTGCTTATTTTCCTAGTAACAAAATTTGATCTAATTTTCCCATTAAAATGCTTCTGCGTATTCTACATAAGCCACCTGACAACTTTGCAGCGATATCTCTCCTCGGTTTATCTAGAAGAGACTGCAATTTAAAGAAACGTGTCTTTTAATCACTTAATACATTACTTTTCGCGTATACAGAAAAGACGAACAGATTTTCTCCAGTTGATGATCGATGCCCGAATCGAAGACAAAGCCAACATTGATTATCAATCACTAGCTGCTAGCGAAAGCGTCGACAAAGAAAGTAACGAGAAAGAATTAATTAACGGTATTTCCTGTATTAAGAACACAAATATCCAATGAAACTTTGTTCCTTCTAAACTGGTATTTTCATTTGTAGGCACTTCCAACTCTAGATCATTGACCATGGACGAAATGGTAGGAAATGCATTCGTATTCCTTCTTGCTGGGTATGAAAAATTCAATATGATTGACTTGTTTATGTTAATTTGGAGTGTTTTAGTTAGAAACATTTAACAAATGTTAGGTTCGAAACTACAAGTACAGCTTTATCTTACTGCTCTCTGATGCTGGCTAATTTTCCGGAAGTTCAAGAGAAGATTAGAAAAGAAGTAAATGCTCTGATGGAAGAAGAGGTAAATGATCGTCAATGTTTGGATTATTTATCCTGTCGTTTTCTGTATAATATAAATAATGTTTATACAGGAAGAATTAGATTACGGTTCAGTACAGAAATTGCAATATTTGGATCAAGTACTCAAGGAGACACTTCGTTTGTATCCGCCTATTTATTTGTGAGTAGATTTTTTTTTTACAGAAATAATAAAAGTTCACAAATTATTTGATAACAGTATTCTAGACTTGGCATATAAAATAATTGTATGCAAAACAGCTTAATATCAACACAAGTTTATTTGTAACATTTAAAATTACATCAGTTGTAATAATAGAAAGTAGTAAAATATTACAGAATATAAAATATTGTGGAGCTAAAGATTTGCGTAGAAAACTGTTTATCAAATAATAGTTATAAATTAATAATTTAAAACCAAACATAAACACATATTATACAGACAGCTTCTTTCCTTCGATATAACTCCACTCTATTTAAGCCTACTTCGACTATGTAAATCGGAGTTATAGAAAGTTAGATTAAACAAAATAAAATTTTATATATTAAACAACAAAATAAATTGTATCAATAATACAAGTTATATTAATAATACGTTCGTTATAAATTCATTCAAAGCAATATTTTCTACAAACTTTGAACTTTTCTCAGATTTGTAAACAGAGAAGCTTCCGATAATGTTCAATACGAAAATATATTTATTCCGAAAGGAATGTCTATTCAAGTTCCAGTTTACTGGTTACATCGCGATCCTAATAACTGGGAAAATCCCGAAGAATTTCGTCCAGAAAGGTAAAATATAAGATTTAAATATCTATTGTGTTAGTTTATTAACACATTTTGCACGCTGGTGTTACAGGTTTGCTCCAGAAAATGCAAACAAACACAATCCTCTTTCGTGGCAACCGTTTGGAGCGGGACCCAGAAACTGCGTGGGAATGAGATTCGCAATGATGGAAGCCAAATTAGTTTTGGCTCGGCTCTTACAAAAATACCGTGTATTGCCGTGTGAAAAGACCGACAAGGTAATTGAGTAATTGATTTTTGAGTGCCATAGTCAAATTATAATAATAACTTAATTTAATAATTTATAAGATGATTAATTTTGTATTTTTTTTAGCATCCCATTCGGTTGAAACCTACGCTGGTTTCCATCAAACCGAAGAATGGAGCTTATGTTAAATTAGAGCGTTGCTGATCATTCTATATTCTGTTATGGAATTATCAAAACATTTTGCCAATTAAAATGTTTTTTGTTGAAGATATGAATAATACTCGGCCATGAATAGTTTGTTGCTAAATTTGAGAAGTTTATAAATAAAATAAATATAAAGAAAAACATTTTGAATCTATACTAATATTATAAAGAGGTAATGTTTGTAAGTATGTATGTATGTATGTAAGTTTGTTTGCAGCAGGTAATCTCCGAAACTACTCATCCGATTTCAAAAATTCTTTCACCTATATTTAGAATGGAACCTCAGGGTGGACATAGGCTTTATTTTATTCCGTTAAACATTCATATAAATTAAATGATATCATCTATGGTTAAGGCTTTTTTGTCCAACAGATGGCGCTACGAGTACGAAGCCCTAAGTTTGCTTTTCTGTCAGGCATTATGCTTTTCTGTGAAAATGAACTAAAGCCGATCATCTTCTATCTATCTATATAAATAAAAATGTAATGTTCGTTTGTTCCTACCGATTCCTTTGAAATTTTGACACAACGCTGCATTCGAATACGCACGTGTTTTTATA